TATTAAGGCAATGATTTTTCTCCTTAAAATTTTTAGTAAATCTCACAGGGGAGGTCCAAAAAAAAAAAAAAAAAGAAAAGAAAACAATGTTCACAGAAAAATTACCAAGCATGCTTGTTGCATGCTTACAGCAGCTAAGCAATTGCCTTACTGGAGAATCCTAATGGGCATTATAGTATAGCTTAGAGGGCTCATGCCCACAATCTTTCCTACAGGGTACGACTGTCCAACTAGTGGCCTAAGGGCCACATGTGACCTCTGAGGAGTTAAACTGTGGCTACTGGGCTCTTGGTCTGGGCACTGCTCCCACATCACTCTCTTGCTGCTGCTGCTGGAGTCTCTGGGATCCCTCTCCTTCCTCTGACTTCTGCTTCCTACCCCTGCCAATCCAGGGGAGAGCAGGGTGGGCACCTTCCACACAGCGCACTGGCAATGCAAGGGCAGTGACACAACATGGCAGGGGGCACCCACACGACAAGGAGTGCAGCCTGCCTGGCATATGGCTCCCAGATGCTCAGAAGTCAGACAGTCCTCCTACAGGCTAACATCCCTAGCTGAGCTACACTGTCCATAGTCCTATGTATTCTGCCTTTTGACCAAGTGGCAGGGCGTCGAATAAAAGTCTGTAACTTTCTTGGAGTTCATGGTTTCTTGACTTCTGTGAAAAAATCATAGCCTTACACACAAGGCAAAGCCATGAAGAATCAGCTTACTGTCTGGTAGGTGCCACACTGAGACAACCAACTCATTTCCTATATGCCATAAAGTAACTTTTCATTAGTAACTGCTTCTGGTTACAACCACCTAGAGTGGTAGCCCCTAGCTTTGTTGAATGTTCTGTTTTTTCAGGTCTGTCATGTGTCAAAGATACCTGGCAAAATGATCAAAACCCACAAAACCCTTTCTACTCCTGTTGATTGCTGCTTGCCATCCTAGAGGTGCCTGCCTTCCCACAATGCTGTTTATGGGCTTCTCCATGAGAAGATGCACTTTAGAAACAGACAACTATGCATTTTCACCACATTTTATGGTTTCCCTCATTTCCAGCTGGCAAATAACCTTGTAGTCATAGAGAAGAAGGGCTGGAAGAGACCTCCAGATGTCACCTAGTCCATACCCCTACCTGAGGCAGGATCATCCCTACCCAAACCATCCTATACAAGCCATAATCTAAACTCTACATAAGACGACCATCAACCCTGACACAACACATGCCTAACACCCTAACCTCTCACAAGTAAAGCAGGGGAACTACAGGGACCAATATCCTGGTTTTATAAAATGTTGTCAGTATAAGCCTATGAGGTCCTAGGTAGAGGGCCACGTCCCCCGCTACAGACCAAGAAAAAAACCCCACAATCCATATTAACCTGGCCACGGGGTAAAGTTCCTTCCTGACCCCAAATATGGTGATTGGCCTCACCCTGTGGAGGGGCAAGACCCTCTAGCCAGGAACGTCTGGCTTTGCTCCCATGCAAGCCACCATGAAAATCTTACAGACTTTATGAAAATCCTTTAATAAACAGTAAGGTTAACATGCCGCACAACCCGCACAACACAGAAAAACAGATAATTACATCAATTTCAGAATACCACCTAGCTAAGATGAACACCATTTTTCATAACAGAATATGAGAACAGAAATATGCCGATGAGGCTTGAGGTAATGCGAAACAAATTCAGAGGAGGTCATTCTACAGACAACAGCAGGCTCGGGACCAGGCCTCAGCTCTGCAAAAAGTTGTTCTACATAAAGAAAAGCTCCTTCGGTGGTCAACTGATGCCTGTAGCTTTTGCTTTGAAGCAATGTGTTATATTCCTTGAGCTGTGTCATAACTGATACTGATCTCAAAAGACAAGTGAATAACAAACCCTATGTCGTAAGGGATCTGGACAACATGATCTAATAGTTCTTTTCTGTCTCTAGTTTTTATAATTCCAAGATTTGAATTCCCGAGCACTCG